AGGGGAGATTTAGGGATTTAGGAGAATGGATTTATTGCAATCAATAGAAATGTTGAGAGGAAAGATGAAGTGAATTGAAAATGTTTTGAGTCATGGATCTTGAGGTCAAGCCTTCTTTGGATGATGACATTCACCTAAAAAGATTAAAGAAGGTTGTTTTAGAAAATTGAAATAAGATGAGTGGCAGAGAAAGTTGAGAGAAAAACGCTTATTGAAGGCGTTGATCATGAGTAAGCAAATAGTTAATTGGAGCCATGTTTTCAAGCCTAAACTAAGTGAACAAAAGGTTCTTTCAAATTATGGCTAATCTTATGAGGTCTTCTGAGAAAGTTCAGAAGTTCAGATTGACTCCGTTACTATAAAGTAGCAAATGAGTGTCACATTGTACACTTCATAATCTCCTTCACCTTGAATCTGCTGTATTTTCCATCATGTTTTTCCAGTTGAAAGTCTCCTGTCCTGTTATGCACAGCTATATATTTTCAAGACTAGCTTTAAGTAAAGGCATTAAACAGCACCAGCAATTAGAAAAATAAGACACTGTCATTACATTTTGTTGAAATAATGCAGATCAAGGTGAGAAGATTTATGTTTCTTCTGCTCTTCACAGTGGACCAGATCTATCACCTGGCCTCTCCAGCCTCTCCTCCCAACTACATGTATAACCCCATCAAAACCCTCAAGACCAACACTATTGGCACTCTCAACATGCTTGGTGAGTACATGCATACTACTGGCAGAGATCCTATAATTGTAAGGTAAGTCTCAAAAACAAGGATTCATATCAAGTTGTTTCCCTGTTAGTTTTGTAACGATTATAAGTCTGAATTAAAAAAAGCACTGTAATACATACAATACAAAAATACTATAAATAAGCCCATTTTAGGTTAACATTCTGACATCAGGTGACTTTTCTTTTAGTGTTGTTCTTCCTCCTGTGTATGGAAAAAGAGGAAAGAACTCAGAAAACGACAATACTTATCAGAACACTATTTTGCACCGATTGCAATTTTTTGAGCAAAGTTCGACCTGCCGATTTTCTTTTTTTTCTAAGAACTGTAATTGCCAGCGTAGCTCCCTCACTATGTCCTATTAGAGTTTTGGGCGTAGTTTCCCTCCTCCAAGGTGTTTCTGTAGGTTCCTCTGTGCGCTGTTTGTACACCAAGCGCTTCCGATACACGAGTGAATGCACCTGGTGCAGACAAGAATGTGAGCCTCGCTCAAGGTGCACGCAAGATGCTATACGCTGCACATGCTGTGCTTTTGCTCTCTGCCACTACATACAGTGGACTACAGTGCCTCTAAATCTGATGAGCACAGAATTGGGAATCTCAAAGTGATCGGCCCGATCATCAGTCAAGGCCGATCACACTGAAAACCGGCTATTTCTGGTCTCCCCAAATTGATCAGTGCATTTCTACTATTTTCTTTCATTAAACTTTGTTTTTACCCAAATTACTTAGTCTAAATATCCATGAAAATACATTGTTATATAAATGAGAGTACACTGCTCAAAATGAGGCAGAAGACTGGATCTAATAAATCATGAAATTGATGGGAAGATGCATTTCCCTCCCAATAACAATGATCATTAAGTTTTCAACTGCAAATTAAGTTTTAAAATCCATCATTCGTACAATTTGAGACATCTGAGAGCAGTCTTCTTCCATTATGTTATAATTTCTTTAACTTTAATAGATAAAACCGTCAGCATTACAGATTTCATGAATGAAAAGGGCTAGTAAGGGCCCCCCCCCGCATGAGATGCCATAAACTGTTATGTCCCCTTCACTTGGGACCTTTGTTGGTCTCCATCTTTGAATCACATGAACCAAAGTTAAAGGGCTTTATAGGCATGGTTATGTTCAGATAAAGCACAGTAAAACACTTTATGAATACTGACATAAAGTTAGATTACATTCAGGACAATGTAATAGAATGGTAAATGGTCTTATACTTAGCACTTTTTCATGCATTGAAGCACACTCAAAACGCTTTGCAATATTTCCCATTTATCTATTGGCACGCACAAACACACGCACACATTCACACAATGGTGATATCACTGGGAGCAGCCAGCGCTTCGTTGTCCTGCTCAAGGACACCTCGTCATGTAGACTGGAGAAGCCAGGGATTAGGAAATGGCCCGCTCTACCTCCTGAGCCACAGCCGAACAAGATAACGGGCTCTTCTGTGTTTTTATTTTTTTAAGACATAAATTGTGCAGTGTTGCAGTGGTACTGTACAGTATGTGCTCTCGTACTTTGTCTCTACTGTATCAGTATATTTACTGTATCCAGGTTTAAGGCCAGGGTTTGATCTCCTTTTGTTTTTCTTCTTTCTGTCTGTATTGTTTTTCTCCTAGGCCTGGCCAAACGCGTGGGCGCCAGACTTCTCCTGGCTTCTACTTCTGAGGTTTACGGAGGTGAGGAGAATGTTCTGCACCTATATTTAAATGTTCTTTGAATAACTCTTTCAGCTTTCCAGTGACTTTGTGAGCAAATGGTTATAGGCAGAGTCTTATAGATGTCTTTAGATGTGATTTTCAGTGTATATTTATGAACATTGTGTTTTAACCACAGTCCAGCAGCCCTAAGTAAAGTCTGCCTAGTCCTTGATGCCCAGCCTAAGATGAGAATGCAAACTGAAATCCTTATGCCAGACAATTACAGAGACTCAGAAATGACAGAAAAAAAAGCTTTACCCAGAAAAGCAGTAAGAATATTTCAGAGAGCCCAGTGTGGCAGGCCTGTGAGTCAGTGTATTGGACCTTTTGAGGTGTTTGGATGCTAAAATGCAGCAAAAATTTCTGGACAAACGTGCAGTAAAGTTTTCATAAAGTATGCAAATGTCAGAAAGACGCAAAGCATTTTAAAATGGAACTTGTTTTTGGGGGGTATATGTGTGTGTGCAGAAGATTAATGTCCTTGGATATAAAAAAACATGTAAACAAAAAAATTAAAAATATGTCCCCCCCCCCAGATCCAGAGGTGCACCCTCAAAATGAGGAGTACTGGGGACATGTGAACCCGATTGGTCCTCGAGCATGTTATGATGAGGGGAAGCGCGTAGCAGAGACGATGTGTTATGCCTACATGAAACAGGTACATTTCAATAAATTACAGGTTTGAGAGAAGTGTTGGTTATTCTCATGATAGTTGCTGTGTGAATTTGCTAAGTAAAGTAGTTTGGAAAAAAAAAAACATGACGGTTTGTTGCATTTTAGAGTCACTGAAGATTTTTAGCAGATTTTGAGAATTATAATGAAAATATGTGTAACCGCTTGCTCTTCACAGTCATGTCCAAACATCTCTGCAACTGAAAAGAGTACACGTTTCCAGTATCTGAAGTTTAGAGTTAAAATCATTTTAAGAAAAAAATCAAAATAAAATAAAAATTTTTCTATGTGTTCAATATTATAGTTTAGAGGTTGGTTTTTTATTGTATCAGCATACAAGTCAGTGGATCTTGCATTAAATCTGGTTTGAGCTTTATAATAACAAAATTCTACAAAACTTTTGAGCTTATCTTTAAACATCCAATGACTTGTTGACATTTTTTTTTATGACTTGATTGACGGCAGCCTTTAATGATCAGATATGGTTAACTCGTCTCGCCTTTCCTTCAGGCTGCTGCTATTTATTTATCGACCTCATCTGCTGCTCCTTCTCAGTTGCTCATTATTTTTTCACACTCAGATGAGAGTTCTTGGAAATAGCCTGCTTTCACTATCCAGCTGTCACTCATTGCTGCAGAGAGACAAGAATATCAAACATTACATCTGTTCCCAAGTCATGTAACTGAAATGTATTGACATTTAAAGAGTGGTGGTACAGGTTATGCAGTGGATGAAAAAAAAAAAACATGTCTCACTCATTTCTCAAACAGAAGGCAAACACTGTAGAGATGACAGACTGTATCTGTGGATCTCCTGTTGCCAGTTTACATGATGCAAAAAAAAGTGCTGTTTAATGTGATTCAAGTGTATCCGTACCCATTTTATAATTAGTATCAGTGTAATATGTAAGGATGGATATTGTTAGCATTTTATCTTCT